GTAGTAGTAGTAGTAGTAGTCAAAGTCGAGTCCCAGAAGGGGCCAGTGGTTTGGCCAAGGCACCACCACCAAGCCCTTCGGCGCTTCGCGAGCTGCCTGTTCCAGCAGCTGGCGCTTCACACCACCTGTCGAGGGCTGGCAGAAGGGGATGTCGGAAAAGTTCGTGATCTTGTGCTCTGTAGTCCAGACAAGAAGTACACCGAATACTCCCCGAAATCCTAGTCTCATGTTTACGGCCCGTCTTGCAGTTTAGGGCCTTGGACCGTCGCAGAGTTGAGAGTTTAGGATCTGAAAAAGGTTGGCAAAGTCTTGACATGCATGGGTTCAGGGTTTAAGGGCTTAGGGGTTTAGGGGTTTAGGGGTTTGGGGTTAAGGGTTAAGGGTTTAGGGTTTAGGGTATTAGGCATGTGTACCGGGGTTGCTATAGGGTTTAAGGCTTCAGAGGAATTAAGGGTTCAACCGGGGAATTTCGTGCTGAGGGCTTAGGGTATCAACTCCAAATTATTTGTAAGAAGTCCTGTAAGAACTTGACGGCTTAGGGTACCAAGTTGCGATTCGATTTTAGAACTACTGTAAGAACCTCAGGGTTTAGGGTACCAACTTGGGAATTGTTGAGAATTCCTTCAAGAACCTACCAGTAGGGGGTGCCTGCCAACTTCATGAAGGTCTTGCGGCTTGCGAAAGTCTCGATCTCGCGTATCCTGAATCTGCAAGTTTAGGGTTTACCTGACTAAGGTTTCGGAATTATGGGGTTTAGGGTTGAGGATTTGGGTAGTTCTCTCCCTTTGAGGGTTCATTTTATAAGGGTGCCAAAAAGGGACCCTAGTTTAGACCTACCCATGTAGTGTTCTGGCTCATTTTTGCAACAAAACCCTCGCTCTGCTTAGGTTCGGATGTTGGCACCGGTCGGAGGAGAGATCTCTATGATCCAGGCTTGAGAACTCTGATATAGTGGCCGTAACAATTGTTATCCTATTGATCATGTTATTACATGTTATTAATTTCAAACTATGTATTATGTAGTGGCAGTGATGCCTATGAATTACCAGGACCCTCCTTGTACCCTGAAACAGGGCTATATGGTCCCAAACAATGGGGAATGGAGGGTACTGTAGACCCCTATAGGAGCCGCGTCAAGATTGCACGGCTCAACGAAACGACATTGATTTTGGGATTTATCGTTGTCCCCAATCCTTCTGCAGATCAAAACCCATGTTGCGACAAGATCGTCCGGCTGGCTCCTTTCATGATAGGAAATCCCATGATAGGAGATCCTACCCCTTAACCCCAGCCCTACACTGCACTGGATTAAACAGCCATGGACTTGGTGTCTCAATCGTCGTCTTCGTCGGCTTTACAAACGGATCTCGGGCGTAGGAGGTAGGAACTGTGTCGAAGGTCAACTCGGGGACTTTCGGCGCCATTCAAGTACTGTAGGGGCCTTGATAATTAGAATAGGATTTTTTTTTGCGGGGGTTCCTTATTATAATTTTTAAAAAGAATATAGCCCCAGTATAGCCCCAAACCCTATTCTAATTATTAAGGCCCCTATGTTTTGGAACCTCAAACCTCTGAAGGAAGAACTCAGGGCCAATTTCTAAGGAAGGCGCACATCCTCCGCGGCCCAGGGAAAGGCGTTGGCCGCGAGGTGCCGAAGCAGCTCAAACTCCTTTCGCCTGCACATGAGGGGAACGGCAAAGAAGCTGAAGTTTTTCAGACTCGAAGTGATGAATCAGTTGAGGAGTGGATGACTTCATCACCCAGTGCCCAAGCGTGAGTCTGCATTTTGTCCGCTTCCACGTGCCCAGACGCATGCTATACGAAGCGTGCAACACAGAAGGATTCTTAAGGTGTAGCGGTGTAAAACCTCTGATCAGAAGATTGCGTGCCCTATGTCCCTATCACTCATACTGTCATTATAATGACAATCATGTTAGTATCTTTCCTACTCATCTTTGTGCGCCCTCATGAGCCCTTTTGTTGCAGCTCAGCTCCTAGGTTTTTACAATGATGAGCAAACCCTAAACCATAAACCCTAAACCCCCAAACCCTGAACCCTAAAGCCTGAACCCTAAGCCCTGAACCCTAAACCCTGAACCCTAAACCCTTAACTTTGAACCCTAAACCCTAAACCCAACAACCCTGAACCCTAAACCCTGAACAGTAAACTTTGAACCCTAAACCCTAAACCCTAAACCCTAAACCCTAAACCCTAAACCCTAAACCCTAAACCCTCGGGACAAGCCAACCCGCGACCTGAGAAACCGAGACCCCAAGCGGCCACTACTTACGGTTTAGGGTTTAGGGGTTTCGGGATTAGGGTTTAGGGTTTAGGGGTTTCGGGATTGCGGTTTAGGGTTTAGGGGTTTCG